TGTTGTCAAATCTGTGTCCCCTTGGAGACAGGGAATCTCTGTTAAAGATAGCGCTTGATGAGTGGACAATGGAACGTGGAAAAAAAGGAACTCAACATGAAGGAGGTAAATCATGATGATATGTTTGTTTATGCCCAGTGCCTTTTTTCATAAAGCAAAACTACATTGAAAGGAGCTGATTTGGAGCTGCAAAAGGGGGGGGGGGATGGGAGGGGCAGAGGGTGGGAAGGAGAACTTAACGCTTTCCCTTCCATCACCCCCCCCCCCACACACACACGCATTGGAAAGAACTGGAACTCCTGATAACCTTTCTGAGATCCATTTCCCTATTCCTTTTGCAGGATTAAACTCACCCATTCCCTGTAGTCCTTTATTACATTAATGCTTTCAGACACACATCCTCCTAATGAGCAGAACCTGCACACGGCAGCTAGAGTGGAATGAGAGGAAAGCTGAATAGCTGAGAGACCAAATTAAGGCACTCCAGCAAACCAAGCTAAGAGATGTACCTACCCTGACGCCCGTATGGGCATGTCTGCATTCAGCAAGTGAGTCAGCAGCAAAAGGCAACCTGAATAACATGACAGAACTCAGCCAGCTTGTTCCTGGCTTAGGTATATTTGACTGAAGTCTACACCTTAGAGAATGCTGACAGTCCACAGATTGCTCACACCATCCCTGGTTTTGGCAGTAAAAAGACCTGTGAGGTTCTCATCCCTGAACAATGCAAAAAGCTGGTGTTTCTGTCAGCCTTAACACTAATAATAAACTCCAGATCCCACAGTTGAGACCACAGGCTTTGAGTTTAATCACCTACCTAGCCCTTAGAACTGGGCCAGAAAGCATGTGGTTCTTCAGATGTTGTTGGACGTAACCCCTATTATCCCTAACCACTAGCTATACTGGCTAGTGCTGATGGGTATTGCACTCCAACAACAATTGGAGCACTATGCTTCTTCTCAACCCTGCTTTCAGCAATGAAGCTAAAACTCTTGAAGACAGTAACAATGCCAAAAAGTCAGGGAGGCATCAATTATGAACATTTATGGAACACCACTAAAATGGACAGAAGCTGTACAGCAGCGAAGAAAAAATCCACCATGGATTGAGTCAGGCCAATTCCTCTCAATGCAAAGCCAAACAAACTTAGCTTAAACTGAGGCTTTGCAAACTAAGCCTTCCTGAGTCAAGAAAAACATAATAAAACCTTTTTGAGACAGACTGAGATTATAGGTCCACACCTAACCCTCATCTCTCCATTGTCAGATATGAAATTAGACAGGAAAAGACGTTTGTGCTAACACGAACTGCTCCAAAACACTCCCAGAGGAGACCCAAACCAATCAAAGGACCTATTCAAAAAGTGGCCTTCTGGAGGTCTTCAGTCACACTTCAGTCCACACTGCAGTAGATAAGTTTAGCTTCTGCCATCTGCTAAATAAGAAATGAAGCTGGTACAACAGTCAAGTAGGCAAGGGGAAGGGGTGAGTTTGTAAGCTGTGTGAGTTTGCTTAAGAAGATTCCACCTTTGAAAATGGTGAAGATTTTGATTGATTAACTGCTCGGGAAAGAGAATGGCTGCTTACAAACTGCCAGTGTAAGAGGATAAAATTTGCATAGTAATTGCATATGCTAATTTATATTTATAAATTAATGATTTATAATATAATAATAAATTATAATAATGAATTTAATAAATAATAAATTTATAGTAATTTATAACAATGGATGCAAATTTAGAAATAACTATAATTGAAATAATTGCATCTCACCATAATTTTGACCAGGTGACCTGTGTGCCTGCCTAGGATGCTGTTCAGGGGCTCACTGTTGATGGGTGAGCAGATCTTTGGTCTTTAAAGCACTTCTGGGCAGGACAATTCTTTAAACAGAGGACTTCCCTCTGTAAAAGAAGACATGTTTGCCCTACCTGAGAATGCTAGCTGGCACTGGACATGCAAGGCATATATTTTGGAAATATATGTGTTTCTATGCTCTAGGTATTTGGTAGAGACAGACTTCACTGACTCTTCATATTCTATTTTTGTGCACAAGAACTGAACCAAAACTGTGGGGCACATTCATTTATTTATATCTTTTTTATAAGAGATATAACCCACACTTCTAATAGAAATATCTTTTTAGCACACTGTTCTAGCAGCACTAGAACCATGAGGGGTGCGCAGGATGCAAACTTGCCTTGCAGATGGAAAATGCTAGCTGCAAACCTATTACGATCTTGAGAGATGTGGGACCTTTGCAAACCCATCTCCCCTGTCCACACCCCCTGCACCATACAGACAAAACCAGCTTGCATGTGACTCAGAAACACTGTGTATGGTTCAAGGGTTGGTAGACCTTGCTTCTCAAGAAGAAACGACCCTTGCAATATTTCTAAGTGTGCTTCCAGATGTATTGTTTCCTTGCTTCACTTATGGAATTTTGTGGGTATGCCAGATGCCAATGCTTCTCTCATGTAAACTTCCAATTTTTCCACCATTTCTTTTGTCTTACCATGGAAAATCTACTAAGTGGAAAAGATGGAATGGCTGCATGATGACTGTTGGCACATCTGGAAGCATGCCCAGTATATGGTTAAAAACTTCCTAGACTCTCATTGCTACATAAAAATCAGATTTTTTTCAAGTGAGTTTCTTGATAGCAATGGAAAACCTGAAAGCAGCAGCAGCCACCGCTGCCACCACCGCTTTTGACCAGTGTTCAGTCAGATGAAAGACAAAACCTCTTCAATGATGTGCCCCAGAAAGGAATATCTGAGCAGTGTTTAATTGATCAAACATGATGTCAGATTTATCACTTAGAGACAGAATAGCACAGAAGGCTATAGTTGAAAGGTATGAAGAAGGACTGTTCCAGAATGGGCCACTTCCCATGTTCTGGATATATCTCTGGGAGGGGCATCTCTTCACTTCAGAGGAATCCTGAGCCTGACCTCCCTAACAGCTATATAATTAATCAACACAACTTGGTAGGGGCTATTGCTATGACCAGTGTAATTATGTCCTGTCATTCACTACATCACATGAGAGGTGTGGCCATCTCTATGCTGAGTGCACCCATAGCTTTAAGGGAGGTGTAGGGCAGCGGGAAGGGCCAAATCTCAATTCAGGAATCTCTGAGTCAGTGACTCCCATATGCCCACACCCATCTCAAGTTGGGTAACCCGTGTTTACTTTGCAATTCATCCGATGGAAAATAAAGTGGAGATTAACTTAAACATTCCATCTCTTTTAGTCTACACAGCATGAAAAATATGAAGCGAACATTAAATTCAAGTGGACTGCATAAAATTTTGGCATGGGGTAATTTTGGCATTGAACCTTATTCATTGGTTCACTTCAGAATGGCTGCTTTCTCAAGGAAGGCAATAATGGACATGTGGGAAAGTTATACAGATTTGTCCCATCAGTGCATGACAATGGCCATCTGGTCCAGCATCCAGTGCAAACTGTGGTCAACCAGTTGCTCATGGGAAACGCATAAGCTGAACACGAATGCGACCACACGCTCTTGCCCATGTCCCCCAGTTCAAAGAAGATGGAAAGTTCTTCACTTTAAAGAGCAGGCAATGTGATTCTCTCAGTAGAAAGATTTCCCTTTGCATTGCTTCATATAGTAAAGCTACATATGTTGATTCAACAAATAAATGTATTGCTCAACCTGAAGTTGCCCCCCAGAATTGACAAAAGAGAACACATGTAGATGGGGAACAAGAAAAGCAGTAGGGATTATGAAGAACAGCAACAGAGATGTTCTTTGCAAATTATGCCCTTAAATCCTTAGGCCAGACTATTGCCACTATCAGTACATCTTGCCACCCTGCATGAGAATTCTCAACACAGAAGCCCAGTGCTGCAAAGCGTCCTATGTAAAACTGAGCCTCAGAAGGTCTTCTAAATTTAATGCCTAGAAAAGCATAGCCTGATCATTAAACCTGAGAAAGGCTTTTTCCCACAGAACAAAGAACTGACTCATTCTTTGAACTAGCAAGAAGCCAAAGGGCAAAGTTTCACATTCTTTCAATCTCATTAAAAGAATTATTTTCCTGTTGTTTGGTTCTCCCTTTCATCCAAATATCACTGTCTTTGATATAGAAGCAGCACTACTGCCTATCTTGAACCTACATGCAGGTACAAGTTATATAACTCTGGTAAACTCCAAAGTTGCAACTTCTGTAAAACTTCTCTGCACAACCTTCACTGCTTCCTATGGCACTTGCCATTTTTGCACAATCCTCTGTTGTAGCAAAATGTTGCAATGCAATGTGGCAGACTGATACCTGTTCTCTTAGCTGACACTCAACAGTGCTTCAGTGCCTCTTGTAACTGGCACCTTCCCACCTGAGCCTCCAGGCTGTTGCAACTCAATTACAAAATAAAAGAGAGAAATAATATATCCAGAACAGTCTGATCCACTGCCACGCTTATAAAGGCAATCCCTCAAAGGTTTCCTTGTGGCTGTAATCAGTGCAAAGGAAATCTCTTGCAAACAATGTCAGAGATTTATTTACAATTGTCTGGTGATCAGCTCCCTTTCCTCACTTTACCGGGACCCCTGGAAATCTACCCTTCTTCTTGGTTGTTGTTTTTGTGGTATGTGTGTGTTTTCAGAGGGCTGATCACAGGCTGCTTGTTTAGTTTCACAGGTTCCAAGTTCCAACATGTTTCTCTTTAATCCAGTCATTCCTATCAAATGCTCCCTGTAGTTTCCCAGCTAAAGGGCAACTGCTACGTAATGTGCCTTTTCTCTCTTTCTCCATGGCAGCACAAATTATGTACCCAAACCAATGTCACTCACCCCGCTTTTACATTTGCTGGAGACCCCTTGGCTACAATCTACAACTTGGAGCCTGATCAGGTGAGATTGTACAGGGAGAGTGTAAAACCGGTCCCCTAGCAGTGCCCTCCCTCCCTTGAAAGTTCCAGAAATGGGGAAGGGAAAGAGCACGCTTGCTACATGCTGAGAGAGGATATACTGACCGGAACGTGTCAGGTTGTCAGAGTTCACCTCCTGTGTGAAGATCCAAGGGGGGTTGGTGGCGTAGAGGGAGCTGGTGGAATTGTTGCTGGCATGTTTTTTTCCGAAGAGTCGGCTAAAAGTTCCCTGCACAGAGTTATGCTTCTTCATCCTTACTTCTGTCGTCTCTGCTGCGTTTCCAAATGTTCCCTCTAGCAAGACATATTTCCAGTTTTCTCAGTTACCACCTAGTGTGCACAGCTCCAACAGGTGCTAGTCTCCTGAACTACCTTTACAGCTGCTTTAAAGCCAAACCACCTGAGCAGGTAGAAGCAAGAGAGGGCTGGCTGCTGTTACCTGGCCACACCCCATACCAGCTCCTTGGGTCACATTCTTTCCAGCCTGTCACAATAAGCCATTGTTAAACGCGAGGCAGCTCTTTAGCCCCTGAGTTTGTGAAGGTCTTCCCCAGAGCATTGCCACATCCAATGACACTTTATGGCTTACAATAATTCCTGGTAAAAAGAGAGAAGTCCAGATTTTCAGTGAAAAAGCTGAGAGTCCAGAGAGCATTGGTTGGTAATGCATCAATTCCCCAGTTTACCAGGCCACTATATATTTCAGCTTATAACTTTCTGTCAAGGCTCAGAATTTGTAAATATATATTTCAAACAATGATATTTGGGGTTTATTTAAATGAAGGTATAATGTAGAAAAATGCAACTATAATAATTCCATACTTATTCAAAGCTGTTTCATTTTTGACCCTATAATATCCTTGTGAGTTCAGGCTAAACCTTTGGTGAACTTCCACATGAAGCAACTGCTGGGAATTTCTCTCTATGAATTCAGCCTTATCATTTCTATCCCCTTCAAGATGCAACTAGGAAGACATAATAAATGACAGAAATCACTGTGAATCAAAGACAAGACTTGTTCCCTCATTCTTACTTTGATATAATGTTTAACATGGGTGTAGGGGACTTCTTTCAGTCCAAGGGCCAAATTCTATTTCAGAGAAGCTCCTGGAGCCTGGTACCAGCAGTGGGTGAGAAAGGATATGGGGTTGAAAACAAAAGGCTGGGTTCGAAATACCAGCATATTGTAGCTTTAAAGCTCTTACTGTAAGTACTGAGCCTCAGGAGAGGCATTTCAACCATTCTAGGATGAAGAAAAATTGCACAAAAGTTGGGAAGCCACCAAATGATGGGTTGTCAGAGGAAAGGGGGTGTGGGCTGCAGCAGAACACCGGAGGGCCACATTTATTCCCCAGGCCAGAAATTCCACATCCTTGGTTTAATACAGCTAAAGCAATCCTATTCTGCAAAATGGCTTTTTTTCCCTAGGAGATGAGAAGAAAAAATTCAGTAATTTTCTCTGGGAAAAAACATCTCTTAAGGAAAATTCCTTATAAGGAATGTTATCTAGAGACAAATTTTAGTGACAAATTTGGCTGAGCATGTAACAGCCTCCACGCAACTGTACTTTGTAAATTAAAAATGCATACCACCACGAAGGTTTTATTTCTTTTTTTAAAGTAATTTTTGCTCAGCAAGGTCAACACTTCTCTGCTTTAATCCATCATCAGAAAATAAACCTGTTTGAAAGACATGTCTGTTAACTAAAATATGCAGTCATACTGGATTTAAAAAAAAAGAAAGAAAATAGAAGGTTGTACCATAACATCTTGAGCCACTGTCAGTTTATAAAACATTCTACCTGTTGTTTAAGCCATGATGAGGGATCTTTGGACTGCTTAAGGTTTTTTGTAAGACATAGTTTGCCAAAACTAACTAAAATATTTATAGTTAAGGGGTTAAGCACCAGCTGAATTTTGTGGGAATTACTTCCAGGTAAGCAACATTAATAAATGTATAAACTTCATTTTAAGCTTTTCCCCTATTACCTTACATGTTTCATTTCTATCTCAAAAGGTTCCTTGAAAGACTTGAATTTAATTTTGTCAATGGAAGACAATTCAAACTTACTGTATTCTGTATTCTTATTCTGTATAGCACACTCTGCATTTTTATTTGTTTATGTATTAGATTTCTAACCCACCCCATTAGCCATACGGCTCCCTGGGTGGGTTACAACAATGAAAATTTTCAAAGCATTTCACCTATATGAGCTCAGTAATAATTAAAACAACCATGTACAGTAGTCCAGAATCATTATCCCCATTGTACAGATTCATGTCAAAGAGGAGTGTCTTGCCTCTGCAGGCTGGAATTATTGTAAACTTGTAATTTGTTATGAGGGATTAATGTGAATGAAGTATATATATTATTTAGGTACCTTGTGAATTTTATAACACATCATGAAGAAATGAAAAAATGTCTATTTTTCATGTTTGAGGGGGCATTCTGGGGGGCACCTTCTTACATCCGCTGGTTCACCTGGCAGGACCACCCAGTAGCAAAAATGCTCCAACCAGCAGTGAAGAGGGAACTGTCATTCAAATTTCCCAGAATCCCCCTATGTAGCAGTGCTCTGAATTACAGTGGAAATCAAAATGGTAGATCACAATTCCAGCCACCAGGTGTAGGATAACCAGGCAGGAAGTAGTTTCAGTAGTCCCTAACAGAGAGGCTGCACATGGGTACTGGTATCATGCTTGCTGGGGGAGAGGGGCATTTAAATGGTGACCCCAATCATAACTACTCAGAAATAAGTTTTCTATTGAGGTTTTGAGAGTTCCAAGCAGATTTGAGCAAAAACTTTAAAAAGAAAGACAGATGTGCATATGCTAGTGTTTCTCAAGTTAAGTGTTAACTGCTTAGTGATCTTTCCATTTTCTTCCTCAGTACTAAACTGTGGTGATTGAGTAGTTTTGACATGAGGGGTTTTGGGTTATTTATTATTAGGCTAATATCACATAGTTGCTGTTATTATGTAGAATTATTGTATTATCTTGTTATGCCGAGATTTTTTCAGGGTGCATTTGTGTCTTCTAATGGTACATCCAAGCAGTTTAATATATTGGGTGCTGGAGTGGAGTAAATGTGTGTATTTTTAGATGAAGGATGGGTTAATAAAAGTTATTTGTTAAATGTATTTTGTTTAACATATTTATGAACTGTACATTTATTAGCTGATAGTAACATTGAAATATTGCTTATTCTTAGATCATTTATAGTGTTTTTATATTTTATTTGATATTTATAAAATTTTGTTATCCACGTTGAGTTTCCTTTTGGAGTGAACAGTGGGATACAAATGTCAATGATGCTGAAACTGAGATTCTTATGGGTATAATTATGTGTGTTTCTTTTATAAGGACTGTCAGTTTCAGCTCTGTTCACAGCTACGAGTTAGGTTATGGCCAACTCATTTCTGAATAGTGCTGTTAATGGAGCTGAGTATACCTTGACATTCTTCAGAAATCTGTTGCATCCTTCCACAATTAAGCACTGTCTAGATGTTTTGGACTTAAATTCCCATCTGCCCTAGCCAGCATGGCCAATGATTGTTAATGAAATGCTGGTAGTTGTTGTTCAAAACATTTAGAAGGAAAAGGCTTGAATATGCTTTATGAATTCACAGATTGAACTGAAAAAGACTTTTGAGAGGCTCTCATAAGAATCTAGAAGACTTTCCTCAAGAAACTACTGGGAAAAAGATGTTGCTTTCCTTTTGCCAGTGTTCACAGAACTCCTGAAAGGACCTCCAAAAGTGTGGGCCTCCCGTTGGCAGCTTATGTGTAACCAATCGCATCAAACCAGGAAGAGGAAAAAGGAAATACATATTAACTTGGGACAGGCTGGCACTCTTTGGAATGGCTTTGCCTCACCATTCTTATGCCAGGCTGTTGTGTCCTGTGCTTATCTGGACTTGAAGCTGAGTTTGCAGGTCAGCACAATCCCTGTTTGGATGGCAGATGCCAGGTGTGCTTGTAATTCCTTCTATCTAAATGTCTTCTTAGGCTTGAAGATGCAGTCATACCTCTATCCTAATAATGTCATGCTGCAGTGCACAATGGGAATTGCATAATGGCTTCTTTCCCATCCACATTGCAGCCATCTTGTGGACTTCAGCCCAGAATTCTGCCTTATCACTATTCAAATATGCAGGCAACCAGAGCAGATTTGCATTTTACTGGCTCTGTGGCTTCTCTGTGTAAACATCCAAATAAAATGACGTCCTCTTAGTAATATTCTCACCAAGCAGAGAAGGTATGTAGATACATGTGAGCAGTACACAGTGCCTATGAAAAATATGCAAGATGTATCAGCTGGTTTTCACCCCCTTTAATCAAACCTGTTTAGCAAGTGACATAGATAAAGCAAAGGAAAGAACAAGAATGGAAGGAGTTTTCTAAAAGAGTAATATATTGAGAGATTGTTAGAAAGAGACACACAGATTTAAAACAAGGACTTACGAAGAAGTCAGCCAACGCTTGCATTCACCAGGATTGTAGAACTTGCTCACTGCTTTAGGACAGTTTTGGATGGCCAGAAAAAAAGCATTACTCTTATTTGGTGGGAGGGGGGTTCTATTTAACCCATAGGGCTATAACCAAGTTTTTACTGCTGGGAAGAAGTCGATAATTAACTTTGTGCTTTCTCTATCCTGCACCCTGCCCCACCCCACCCCACTGAATTTCAAAATACCTTTTGGTTCACATGCCAGTTTGTCTGTTTCTTATATTGCCCATCTTTTTTCCTGCAAAAAACCCCCCAATCCTCTTCATTTCATCCTCACAACAACCCTGTGAGACGGGGTAGGCTGACACTCAGTGACTGAGTCGAAGTCACCCAATGTGCTTCATGACAAGTGGGGACTAGAACCCAGATATCCCAGATCTCTAGTCTAGCACTCTGACCACTGATATATGATAAATTATATTATTATTATTACATAAATGATAATATTAACTATACCTAATGGTTTTTGCTCTCTGTTGCATGCATCTGTGCACATGTGTCAAGAACTCAAGAAGAGCCATGCAAGATCAGTGCAAAGGCCAAATCCAAGTCTAACATTCTGTTCCCACACTGGCCAGCCGATGTCCACAGGCAGTTCACAAGCAGGACTTAAGTACAGAAACACCTTCCTTCTTGTGTATGTAGAAACTGGTATAAAGAGGGATACTGCCTCCTATCTGGAGATAATATGTAACCATTGTTTTCTGCAATACTAGTACTCAGATGGAGAACTAGAAAACATTT